ACCTGGTTGGTATCAATCGACAGCAACAGGGGGGGGGGGGGGGGTGGGAACTGATCCTCTACAGTAGTTCAACAAGGGTATTTTCCCGAAATTTTCGAGGCCAGAAAAGAAGCGCCACTTCTCGACATTGCCGCACCCCTTCCTTTGTGTGTGAGGGCTCGGCCCAAAATCTCACATACCTGATGGTGAGAATAGTCGCTCTGCAAATCACATGTCGAAGAAGAAGAAGGAGAAGAATGGCATTATTATGATGATTATTGTGGAATCCATCTTCCCATCCATCCATTCTTCCTCCCTTCCTCCCCGTGGTGTCCTACTGGTACAGTAGGGGTAGTATCCCCCACCTTTGTTTGAATTCCAACTGCCATGATCAGAGCATATCAACAAAATGGATGCTCACGAGACACTATACCCTCCACTTGCGACAATCACTCCAGATGATCACAGAGGAGTAGCCTGGGTCATCAGCATCATCTGTCTTTCCCACATCTATCTCACCCTGGCGCTGCGACTCTCCGTTCGATGGCGGAGATTTCAGCTCGACGACTATGCATTAGTTGTCGCCTGCGTCTTGGTGCTCTGCCAGAGTAGTTTGGTCTTTGGTGCCGTGGGAATGGGAATGGGTTGGTCTGGTGCTGCAGGTGCTGGAGATGGACGGATTGCAACTACGTGGCGTGTAAGTACCTAACCTACCATCTAGTGAATTGAGCTTTCTCCCCTAGATTACAGGAATGTATTATTCCCGAGTACTGCATGATGGAGCTGACACTTTTCGAAATTTGAATTTACAGCTATTTCTGGCCAGTGAGGCATTCTTCATCATCGCCATGTTCGTGGCCAAGGTAGCAGTGCTTTTGACCGTGCAGAGCTTATTGGCACGAGACATGATTGTCCGATTTGTCTTTCGCTCGACTTTGGCCGCATTTGTGCTCTTGGGCTTCTCTGCACTCCTCGTCGTTACCGTCGGCTGCGGTTTTGACAATCTCGTATCGAATGATGGTACTTGTGATCAGGTATGATTTTCTTTTTATGTTTTTTATAATATTGACCCGGAAGAAATTACACATGCTGAGTATGAGGGAATAGGGGCATCGCTGGATTGCCATCGCCACTTTGGACGCCGTCTCGGAACTTTGGACATTTTCTCTCTTTGGCTGGGTCGTATGGTCCCTTCAAATGAAGCTCAAGTACAAAATCACCGCCACAGCCATGGTCGGTCTACGACTATTGTAAGTTTCTCTCCCACATCCAACCATTCTCGCCTCAGAAGCGCATCAAACACTAACTTCCAACTCAAAAACAACAAAAACAGCTGCATAGCATTCGCAGGCGTCCACGCCCACTACATGCACAACTACCAACACGCCTCAGCGCCCTCGGTAGAAATCATCAAACCCCTCGTCTGGCAAAATCTCTCTCTGACCTGGTCTCTCCTCTCCGCCATGGCCGTCGCTCTCAAACCTTTTCTCAAAGACTTCCACACGGGAATGGGAATGGATTTGGGCTATGTGACGGAAAGCCATTATGGGAGTGGTGGAAGCAGGAAATTGGGGAAACAGGGATATATTATGCAGAATTTATCGCCGGATAGAAGTAAAGATTCGCAGGCGCAGGGGGAGGGGGAGGGGATTGAGGGGGGGGTATGGTAATAATTGTAACGGCAGCAATGGGAATGGGGGTGGGAATGGGAGTGGGGGTGGGAATGGCAATGAAAGAGTGATGATGGACCATACGAGAAATTTGACGGCGGGGGATCACTATATTGCGGAAATTTATCATGAAAGTCGTGGGCCGAGTTTGGCGAGTATGTGTTCGGAAGATCCTATGATTAGGAAAAAGACGGATATTGATGTGACGTATCTTACGCACTCGAATAACAATAACAACAACAACGCAGTGGAATGATGAGATGAAATGGAAAATTGTACTGGATGCGGTTTTTTTTTGAGAGAGAGAGATACCCTAGAGATAGAATTTTGAAGTTGGGAGAGACCTGTTGGTATAAATGGAAGTGGAGGAGGTCCAAGGAGAGGTAGAACTTTGGGAGATGCCATGGCAGATTTATATATGTAGATGAATTATTGAACCACGCAACCCATCGCTATCAAACAACATCACAGCGATCCGCAACACAACACCCAGTTGGCTCAACTTAAGTTAGGTAGCTTAGATTCTCCAAAAATCTCCATCAAAAAAATCTTTCTTGCCTTCCCAGTTCAAAAATGCAGTTTTAGTACTTACCTACCTTACACATCAGTAACTCTCACCTCCACATCCCCAATTTCCACAACCATATTAACCTCATAATAAGTCGTTCTCGGATCCGGATTATACACACGAATACCCTTAACCTCTCTCCTCCCCAACACCGCACACCTCTGCACAAGCAAATACGGCACGCCCCAAATATTCTCCGTCCCCAACAACGCATCGAATCCCGCCATATCTCGCGTAACGAGTTTACCAGGCCATTTCGGAGCTCTACCTTGAGAGATTTCAGGCTCTGCAGGCCACCAGTGCTGCAGCACTCGCGCGAGCACGGTTTGAGTGGATTCGTTGATGACGCTTTTTTGGATGATGTATCGTAGGTCTCGAGGGTCGGTTTCGCTGAGGGAGCAGATTTTGGTCCAGAGGAGCCACCAGATGTCGGAGAGTCGAGATAGTTCGGGTTTGAGCATTGTTGAGCTGTTCCAGTGGCGGAGGAGGCCGTTGATGAAATAGTCGGGACCTATTGGGGGGATTGTATTAGGGGAGAGTCATGTACTCGGAAAAAGAAGATTTGTGGTATAGTATACCGAAATTGTAATATGCGAGAATGACTCCGTCTTTGGGGTAGAAGATGTTTTGGTATTCCGCCATAGTTGCCTACGACGAAGGAAATCAGATGCGTGTGTGTGTGTGTAAACCTGAGGAGATGAGGCTGTGCGCTCACAGGGTATTGATAAGTTTTTCCATCCAGCGTCACAGGTGCATGAGCGGGAGTCGTTTTATGCTCTACTTGGCCCACCATGCCCGTCCTCGGACGACTACCCACCAATCGTCTCATGGCAGGATCACGCTCTTCGGAGTAATTGATTCGGATGGGATTTGATCCTTGAGGACCAGTCCAACCCCACTCGGCCAATTGTTCGAATCGATTCCATGGACTGATTGCCTGGTCTCCAGCGAGTGCGGGATTTTGCATCCAGCACATCAAGGTGTGACCTTTCACTTGGGCTCTGTAGTAGACTGCATCTGTGGCCGGGCGTACAACCTGGGGAGGCAATCGACTGGATTGAACTCGACGAATGAGATGTGGGGCTCTGGTGAGGATGGAGGAGTCGAAGGGTAATGCTGTGGCAGACACTGCATCGGTTCGATAGATTTCGTCTGGAGCATCGTTGCGCAGAGAAATGTTGGAATCTTCGTCAAGTGCTGTTGGGTGAATTGATGCAGATGCGGTTGAAGATGATGGAAAGACGAAGAAGAAGAGAAGCCCGATTGCCAACAGGAGCAAAAGGGAAGAGACAACACTCCATAAACGGCGTGCGCGCCGAGTGTCACCCATACTTACACTTGCGTGACAAGCTCCCGGTACAAGAAGTGTGTGGCGTACCGCGAGAAGTCTCTTTAGCGACTGGGAAGCCAGATGGCCCATCGAACTGTCCGTGACGCAGTGGTGTTGGATTGTGTGTCTCACAGAGTAGTAGCACAGTCAAGTTGTGTGGAGGCACAGCTTTGTGCCACAAATGCAGGATATCTTGCAACTTGGTGGTATGAAAGGTCGCATCGGGCGTTTTATCAGACATCGTAGGACCCTCCAGTAGAGCTTCTCTCGTGATCGTACGCACACGTACTGCGAGCAATCATCTGGTGACTTTGGAGTCGGACAGCGCTCATGTGCTACATGTTAGATGGAAGACGCTGTCCGTAGTTCCTGAATGTTTGAGAGAGTATCCTGTGCCAGTCTAGTGTGCTCGTTGTCTCATTGATGATCATGTCTGGACCCGTATGTGGTGAGAAAGAAGTAGGCTCCAATTTCAGATACGAACATATAAAGTGCATCCACACTTCCAGACTCGTATTCCATATTGGGAAGAGCTTCCAGAACCGTATTCCATATTGGGGAGAGCCCAATGTGTACTCTGAGTGGTAGCAGATAAATTGGATGCATTATCGCGACACGAGTAGAGATGATATGCTGCTGTTTGAGGAGGAGAAGTGGAGGAAGTGAATATGTATAGGGAAAAGGGGACTTCTCGGAGCCGAGAATACCCCGACACATGGCTGGGCGACAAGACACCATCTGCACGACTGATTTCGCCTACCTAAGGTACTTTACTGTATTAGGGATTCCGTGTGTCAACATCTCTAGGGTACCCAGGTACCGCTCTTCACCCGCAAATGAATTCTTCAGTCTGGACTCTCACGTCCTCCTTTCGAGATACACTGTACTCTCCAGAGCGCATATATACAGTGCGCATTGCACGCAAACAACCAAGGCCGTACCACATCTTCCACCCTGTATAGCATGCTCTAGACGAACCGATCATGATCTTTTTCACGGAATGGCGAACGGCAGCTCTGCTGGGTCTCCTCTCAGCGGGCAGCGCTGCGCAACGGCTGGAGTGTCCAGCAGGCCTCGATGGATTAGCCTTCCGGATGCTCGAAAGCAACATCGGCCGGGGGCAAGGCATTGCCGCCAGCAACGCCTCGACTGGTCAAATCGAACTTGGCCTCTTCCAACAGGCCTTGCATGAGAGCATTGCTTTCACGAATAATACAGATGAGAAGCAGAAGTGGCAGAGCCTTCTCGAAACCAGCATCACTTCGGCAAACCTTTCGCTTTCCAACGCCACCAAGAACACGGAATTACCCCTGGATCGCCTATCCATAGGCACGGCAATGTTACGGCTGTATGATGCGACCAAGAACGAGGCCCTCATCCCCACGATCAAGGCATTGCAATTGTCGGCTATCAACCAAAAACGAAACACCAATGGCGGCCTGTGGTATTACGACAACCCGCTGAATCAATCCGCGTACCACAACCTCAGCTATCTGGATGGCATGTTCTCCTACTCCCCTTTTGTGATTCTATCGACCAAGCTCGACTTTGCCAGCGACACCAACAACCTCAACGAAGCCGCAGCTTGGAACCAATTGAGCATTCTCCGCAGCATCACCGAACGCGAAGATGGACTATTCGTGCACGGCTACGATCCCACCCAAAACCACACATGGGCCCAACCCAGCGAAAAAGGCGCCAGTCCCGTCGTCTGGGGCAGAGCTCTCGCATGGTACACTCTCGGAGTAGTAAACAGCATCGAGCTACTGGAAACACAATACAGCGATCTCATTTCCAATTTCAAAACTCTCTACCGCGATCTCATTTCTGCCCAATTGCGCGCCGCCGATCGTAGTCTTGCCATCGAAGGACAATATGGAGTCTGGCAAATCGTCGATCGACCCGGTGCGACATTCAATGGCCACGCGAATTTCATCGAAGCGAGCTCCAGTCTCATGACGGCTTATTCTTTGCTCAAAGGTGCCAGACTCGGCTGGCTCGAAGACGACGCTTCATTGAAATTGCGGGCGCAAATTGCCGGAGTGGGAATTTTCAATGATATGAGGCAGAGGTACATGATTGTGAATGACAATAGTACACTCAGTCTCAATGGTACGAGTTCTGTGAGTACGTTGAGTGGAAACGTAGATTATGAGGTAAGTTTACTTTTACACCCCTAGACTTTGACCCCCTTTTTTTGTGCTTTTTGCGCTGACGTTGGTGTGTTACCCATAGTACTATGTGACTAGACCTACTGTGCTGAATAGTCTGATTGGCTCCAGTGCCTTTATCCTGGCTGCGATGGAAGCTGAGAGGTTGTGTTAGACTAGTCTTGTCGTGTTGATAGATATAGATTTCTGCAATTTGATCTCCTCTGATCAGAGGGACTTTTGCAACCGCATGCAGGCCTTTTTTGTAGGTTGGACAGAAAGGTGAAGATGTCCAGATGATGATAAGATAGACCGACCCACCGCCTTTCTCCTTCTTGCCTGCCTGTCTGTCTGCCTGCCCCTTGTCATGGTATCAGACTAGTGCGCTGGTTACAGTAGTAAGTAGTACCTGCAAGTAAGACTGATGAGGCTACCTCCAGAGAAGTAGGCGATGATTCGCTCTATAATCATCTCTCTCTCTCAAAAATTCTTTTCATGAGGTAGTAAGGTAAAGTACACGTAGTCTTAAGAGTCGGAAAGAGAGGAACGAAACGAAAAGGGATTCGTGGCGTCGTATTCGTATAGGTCCGCCTATTCTACCTACATGTTGTATAGTTAGTTACATAGGTGTTACAGGTAGATAGGTACTTGAGGTAGATGTCGTGAGACTATGACTGTGCGGATAAGGTAGGTACTGTACCTGTAGGATGCAATTCTCGTTATTTGCTGGCTCGTTTCAATTTCTTCACGTGCACGTCTGTCGTTCCTCTCTCTCTCTCTCTCTCTTTCTTGGCGCTTGAAATATTCAATTTGTTTTACTGCTAGCAGATCCCGGTCTTTTTGCCATGATGTTTGCTTGGAAGTGGTGTATTCTGTCTAATTAGCGCTCTTCTCTTTCTGTTTCTTTTTTCTTCTTTTGATTAATTTGTTGCTGGATGCGGGTCCGTGAGAATGAACATGGCCTCCTCTCTCTCTCGTATCTTCATTTTGGTGTCGTTGCACTTTTGCCTAATTGCTTGTAGGTAGTGAGCCTCCGTGGGTACTAGACAGCGCCATCTCACTCGCCGTCTCGCATCTCGTCTACGCAGCCAGTGCAGTCAGTGCAGTACCGACTCGGGATACCCAGACGGGGTATCGTAGCTTATAATTCGTAGGCTCGTACGTTCGCTCGCCTTCGGCCTGGTGGTCTGGCTGTGAAGGGCCGAGATGATAGCAGATGCCAAAGAGTGGAACGGCCGACAGACTTTCTTGGCAGTCTATGCAGCTGTCGACCCTATACACGGTATACAGACTAATACAGTATACACAGTCGAGCGGTCAGCTGACGGCACTTCCCGTTCGGCTCACGGGCATTCCATGGGCTTGCAAGGGGACAGAGTCGGTTTGATGATAGGCCATCTCGTACCTTTTTGTCTTCCAAATTCCCACCAGAGAAGCATCAAATCTACTCCCACAAACGAGCCACTGCCTCGCGTTGGCTCAATGATGCGCCTCCGCACACACGAGGGGATGCATCCCATACCACCTAGCCCGAGGATGGGATGGCCACGCAGCCGGCCCCAAGGCACCGACTGAGTGATGACATACCTACATGCCGCAGCTCGCCATTGACGATCTCTTGCTGCTGCTGTTGATGCTTCATCTCCACCGTTGCACCCTATGGCCGCCGCACTAGCTCTCCCTTCACCACCCTTTGTGAACGTGCCAGGCACCGCCAACTTTCGCGATGCAGGAGACGGAAAGACTATGCGATACGGCCTCATCTACAGGTCGGCAGACCCTAGCAAAGCAACAACAGATGGACTGGTCAAGATGAATCGGAGTCTGGGTGCGTACGGCTTGTCTCGCCTCCCACAAAGCACACCCAGTCGAGACAGACACCGTCTGTTCGAGATGATGATGATGACGATGAATACTCAGCTCACCACTCTCACCTCCTCACAGGCATTCAATACATCTTCGACCTTCGCTCCACCTCTGAAATTCAACGCGATGGCCCCGAGTGGCAAGGCGTGCAAGTCGACGCTCCTAACCCGTATGCCCAGTATGGCATGATCCGCCGATGGACTCCCGTCTTCGCAGACCAAGATTACGGACCGGAACAGGTTGCGCTGCGATATCAGCAATACACTCGTTCGGGTTCAGAAGGTTTCGTCAAAGCCTATCGAGACATCTTGCTCGCTGCCCCCAGAGCCTATGGAATCATCTTCCGTCACTTGGCCTCTCCGGACGCCAGGCCATGTCTCGTCCATTGCACAGCAGGGAAAGACCGGACAGGAGTGTTTGTTGCATTGCTCAAGATGTTGGCGGGAGTCGACAAGAAGGCCATTGGGGAGGAGTATGCGTTGACAGATGTGGGGTTGCAGCATCTGAAACCCGTCTTTATGCAGAGATTACTCAAGAATCCCCGATTACAGGGCAACGAAGCGGGAGTGCGGAACATGATGAGCAGTAAGAAGGAGAATATGGAAGCGACGGTGGAGATGATCGAGAGGGAGTTTGGCGGAGCGGAACAGTACCTGAGGATGTACTGTAAGATGGGTGACGGGGAGATTGAGGGATTGAAGAAGAACTTGCGAGCCGTCTGAGGCGAGGCGTGACAGCGGGAGGTAGCATAAGGTAGTGAGTTGTAGAACTCTGGTATTCTACCTCATTCAGCTATACATGTGTATCAGGGATGACCGAGGACTACATACATGTAACGGGTGGGCAACGCAAACGCCAAACGGTACGGTACATGTTGCATGTATTGTAGTTCCCTGATGTAGTTGGCAATCCTTCGCCAAGCCGTCTGGGGTTCACTTTTCGTTCCCGAAGTCATCTCACAGACCCTCACCGGTCATGTGTTTCTATTTTCCCCAGCTGAACACGCGACGAGTGAACACGTTGCGTGGGGTTCGAGCGGCTTCTCGAGCGCTAAGGTATCTCTACCTCCTCTATATCTCTCTTCCCCTACTACGGAAGTACCGAATGCAGCATCTTCCAGTATAAATGGCCGCGAAGGTGGGTCGACAACACACGTCTACTCGTCAGTGGGCGTGGTTGTACCTCCTACTGATGTAGTATTGATTGCTCCACCGAGCGGGCATACCGACGCACTTGACTTCACTTCAGTCCCTTGGCACGGCCCGACGACCCGCCTCGGGCAATGAAAGAAGTCCTCCATCGGGACGAGCAGCTACCGGCATTTCAGCAGCCGATGGATCACACAGCCCGATCGTGAGCCAGCTGCGTGTGCATGTATAGTGACACCCATGATGCGACTTGGGACGAATCCTGTCGCCTCAAGTAGCGCCATCTATGGCCCTAGTGGCGGCTCACTTCTTTCGGCTCAACCTCATGCTCTCATTTGGGTGTGCAGGCATTCTCAGCCTCGCACGTCTACTCAGACCATGGAGCTACTTCCCAATACCGCGTGTTCCACAGTGGCAGCCTTAGCTGACTATTCACAAAGACAACCCGTTTCCAGACCTTTGCGAGCCTACACCTTTCCCCGTTCACTTGGGTTCAGTCGCACGGACGCTCCTCGCCGTGAAACCACTCTCTCCTGCAAGCTCCCGCCCATCGGCCGCTCTGGATGCGGATAGTCGCACGGGCGAGGTCACTTCTCCGAAAAATCATGATTGATGACAAACGATGTCTACCCTTCATCCCCCCGAGCAACGACGTCTCTTGAGAGACGCTTCTCCAACGCCCATACCCAAATCCCACGCGCCCTTGCTCACGGTTGCGAGACACAGACCACGCTATACCAGGGTTGCCTCAGTCTCGTTCAACGACCCTCTCCAGACAAGAGACATCACCGACACGCTGGCCGATGACGAGATTACACCGGCACCCGCGCGCGGCCAGGGCGGTGCTCAGGGAAATCCACATCATGGCCTGGGCATCATCTCAGCAAACCGTGCCGAGATTGATACGTCTGGAAATTTGCCAGCAATGCCTTCCCAGGAGCCGACAAGTAATGTGAGGAAGACTCCTGAGCAAAGTCATGCGCCCTACTCACCGCCTTCAACCGGAGGCATGACGGAATCGACGAAATTCGAGGAGTCTTTCGACATGTCCTATCACCCGAAACACAAGGACTCTCGTGCATCTCTCCAGTCTGCAGCGCCTTCGACCTACGCCAAGTCAGATGCTGGGCTCTTATCCGTCCGCTCAGCATACACTGACTTTGAACCTCACGAACGTTGTGCAAGCAAGAGATCGTACAAACATGTGAGGCTCACAACGTGGGTTTCGGTCACCATCTTGACCCTGGCCGTCTTTGCCACTGTCTTCTCCGGCATCTTTTTGATCATCGCCTTGAGAGGGCCACGGTATGGGCGCCTGATACGAAATGGCGGGAGCCTCACTCCCGGATCGGCGGCATTTCTCACATCCTTCTTCGCCAAATTGATCGAGCTATCTTTCGTCACCGTGGTGGTTGCTTTTATTGGCCAAGCCCTCGCTCGAAGAGCTTTCACCCTGGAGCATGCTCGCGGCATCACACTGGCAGAGCTGAACATGCGCACCTGGATATTGCAGCCGGGAACTATGCTCACACAGTGGGAATCAGTCCGATATGCCGGGCTATCGTTCTTGGGCATAGTGTCCTTTCTCGGTGCGCTCTCAACCATGTCAGTATCTTTTGTCCTACATGTACATGGATGGCAACAACAGGCTAATCTTCTCAGTTTGTACACGTCCGCTGCCACTGCGCTCGTACAACCTCAGCTCGTACTTCCCAAGTTTGAGTCTCATACTCTACAGGGACTTGTCAAGACATCATTTGCCAACTCTTACTACATTGCAGACAGCTGCCAGACGCCGATCACGGAATCGTTCGATAAGGAGTATGCGGGAACAACCTGTCTCCAGATTGAACACTCGTCCAATGCATATCACAATTACTACAGCTACCTCTCTACTTGGACTGAGGCTGCCAAGATTGACGGCAATAGCACAAATGATCTCGCGACCAGACCGAGAGGCTATGCTTTATTTGCCGATAACACTACAATCCAGGCCCCTTGGATCGATCATAGGGCAGTCACTCAGGAAGAATTCCCTGGATATATCATCAATAATGTCACCATGGCGATGCCTCACATTGGTGTCGTGCAAGCTGCCATTGATCCCATCAACAAGATCATGCAACCCTACGAGGTGGATGGCGCCACCTACAGCATTCGCGCTTCGGTCCCGTCACCAATGGTGAACGCTTTGTGTGTGACGTTGTCGAGGGCGCAATTGGCCCCTCTCGTGTATAGCGAGTGGAATCTTACGGACGGCAAATGCAATCAGACGGACTGGGTAACCAACGGGACCTGGCCTTTTTGCGCAGAATATCCCGAGGGTACAGACTTATACCTCAACAACACCCAAGGCACAGGAATAGATCCCAACCTCAACGAAATCTTTCGCTGGGGCAGCAAGTGGGGTGCAAACAGATATCCTCCCATTTTCCCCAAGCTGCCAATCGATTATAACACCCTAATCAACGAAACCAATGGCATGATCACCACATGGGGTCCCACGTCCATTTACCTGCTTGGTAAAGGTGGACCGACCAACCAGCAAGGTAGTATCATGACAGGAGAAGAAGGCGCGACGAATTATGCTCTGTGTTCGATTTCAGCAGGTCAGACACCTCTGTGCACCACTCATTATAATGCCAGTAGCAGTGGCGGTAGCATGGAAGCTATATGCGATACCGACGATCCTTTGCAATATAATCAGAGTGTGCCGCGAGCACCGAGGGGTAATGATACACTCAGTCCCGACTGGATCAATGTCGCGCAGGAGTGGGCGAGAAGTATGTCATATTCCACATCTCAAAAAGCAGCAACCAAGAAAGAAAACAAAAAAAAAGATTCACGAATCTTACGCTAATTCTCTTTTCTTCAAATTTCCCCCAACAGGCCTCTCCCTCAGCTCCGGTCTCTTCGACGGCAACGCCTCCAACGCCCGCCTCTTGACCCAATTCATCCTCACGGCCTCTGACCACGGAAATCTCTCCTTGGCCCACCCTTCCGCCGCCGAAGCCTTGGCGGTTTTAGCAGGTTGTACACTCCTCCAGTCCGCCACAGATGCCCCTTTTAGCATGTTTTGGAACCACACACACCCCACCATCCAAAACGGCGAATATCAGCACTTTAACGCTTCTCTCCGCGTTCAACAATACGGCAGTGGAGGCTCTTCTTCTTCTACTTCTACTTCTTCATCTTCCTATCAAAAACCCCTCTATCTCATCCTCACCGTCGTATTTCTCTTGAATATTTTTATTCTCAGCTATTTCATTTTCCATCGAGATTGGTACGTGGATTTTTCCGAGCCGCTGCATCTTTTTTCGCTGGCGGTCAATTCTCCTCCGAGTGGTTTGCTCAGGGGGAGTTGTGGGTGTGGACCTAGTGGGGAGCAGTTGAGGGTGGGTTGGAAAATGCAGAGGTGGAATGGACATTTCTATGTGGATGGGAAGAGGGAGGAAGAGAGGGAAAAAGAGGGGGATTCTTCAAGGTGGAGATGGAGGGGGAGGGGGAGGAGAGGATTTAGTGCTACTTCTAGTGGTACTACTGCTACTACTACTACTGAGCTGCCTTCTTCTTCTTTGGAGATGATGGATTCGCCGCTGGTGGGGAGGTTGAAAAGATAGGGGATTTCCGAGACAGATTTGGAAGGTTTTCTTTTTACAGTATTGGGCAATAGATTCAATGAGAAAATGGAATCGTCGTTTCTGCTTCATATCTTCATGTCTTATAATAAGTTGCTTGCGTATATACTAACTATCTACCTGGATAAACTCGAGCTGGGCTTGGATATATATGTATATATATATGTATGTATGTATGTATTCACTTCTCTTCGGCTAGTGCACTGTAGAACAAGTCAATAGGTCTTTTTTACTTAGGTACCCTTACTTTATCGCTAACTTCGCTAATACAGTGTTTTTCTCTTCTTTCGATCTTGGAGGGAATGCCATATTCAGGTTCTCTATATCTAGCTTTGAACATGGAATATTCAATACCCGGTTGTCGTCGGGTAGTGCACGGAGAGCTAAGCCTGGCTCGGCTAGAGCACTAGAAGAAGCGCAGCGATCTGGGGTCTTGGCGAATGATTGCAACAACTACGCCTATCTCTCTCTCTCTCTCTCTCCCTCTCTACTCGCCGGGCTCTTTCTCAACACGAGCATATTCCGTCGGGAGTGACCCCTGTCTCAAAAGGGGCCAGGTAGCAGCTCTGAGAAATACGATCGAGGAGAAATAAAAAGACAAGGTGCATTTATTGTTACTCGACAGGACGACTCATTCAGAAACCACAACAACAACAACAACAACTCCTCCACCTTGAATACATATCACATCAACCATGACCACAACACCAGAATTCGCCTATGGCTCCGGACCGCCCAAACCCGTCCCACCGCAGAAACCCGAGGAGATCGCACAAGGCATAACATTACTCCGACCCCTATCACGAAAAGGCCATGGACCCGGCTTAATCATTCTCGCACCACCACCAGCCCAAGATAATAACAATCCAACAACTTCGCCCCCGGAGATACAAAACGGCATCCCCTCCCTCCGCATGAAATGGGCAGAAGAAGGCTATTGCGTCGCACAGATTCAACCTCATGCCTCCTCCTCTTCTGCTTCGTCTTCTTCCAGTGCTCTGCAAATTGCAGTCCAAGCTTTACAAGCCTGTGCCGAGTGTGAACCAAAGGAGCAAATGGGAATTATTTGCTATGATTTTGATATATGGTTCAGTGTTACACATGCTGCTGCGGCTCTCCCAGAACAAATCGTCGTCGCAGCTATTTATGCGCATATTTCGCAATACCAACATCTTGTATCCTCTCCTCCTCCAGCCGATGGTAGTAGTGGAAATGGTAGCAAAGGTGTACTACCAACAATATATCATCTCGCTGGCACCACATCATCATCTTCTGCAACCACCACACCAGCACCGAAAACAGCAGCAGCGCCCCCCAACAGCAAAATCTACGAATATCCCTCAATGGAAACTTCCTCGTTCGCGGTGCCGTTTAGCGAAGAATTCGATTATGCGACCGAAGCGGTTTCGCATTCGCGGAATTTGGCATTTGTGAAAAAAGTCATGGGGGGACCGTATTTTGATTTGGAATTGTTGTGGGAGGAACATACGTTTTATGAATTTGGGAGCAGGAGTGTGGAGAATACGATGGCGACCATGGTGGAGGAACCTTATGTTAATCATGTTCCTACTGTGAGTTTATCTTTTTTTTTTCCCTTTCTGTTTTTTTGATATGATGATGATTAGTTCTTCTTTTGGCTGACCTTGGGAATACATGTATGCATGAATAGCTCACGGGCGGAATCGGACGTACGAATCTCACCAATTTCTATCGCGATCACTTCATCTTTAGTAATCCCGAGGATACGACGTTGGAACTCATCAGTCGTACGGTCGGTATTGATCGCGTCGTGGATGAATTTATTTACAAATTCACTTTTACCAAGACACCGGATTGGCTGTAAGTTTCTCTTTTCTTTTCTCGCATGCACATGGAAAACAAGAAAAAGAGAAAGAAAAGGAAAAAGAAAAGAAAAAGAAAAGAAAGTCCCAACTGAACCATTCATTCCTTACCCTTAGTTTCCCCGGAATCCCTCCAACACACCAATTCGTCGAAATCCCCATGATGGCCGTCGTCAACATTCGCGGCGACCGTTTATATCACGAACACATCACCTGGGATCACGCCTCCGCTCTACGACAAATCGGTGTGTTGCCGGAGAAATTGCCGTTGACAATCACAACTGAAGAAGAAGAAGATGATGATGATGATGAGAAAAAGAAGAACAAAAAGTACGAAATTACTTTACCCGTCGCGGGAAAAGAAACAGCAATGAAGATGCGAAATAAGAATTCGATTCCGTCAAATTCCATGTTTGAGTATCAGGCGAGGGAGATTTAAAACTTGTGGTGGAGGTGAGGACACCAGGGATTGGGGGGTTTGTCATCAGAGGTGATGAGGTGATTTGAGAAGAATGAGGGATGGGGTAGTCCTGTCGATACCTAATGTACCTACCTACCCTAGGTAGTAGGAGAAATGGCGGGAGAAAACCAACAACAGCTCACATCATCATCATCATCATCATCATCATCATCATCAGATGTGCTCTATTCCAACTAGGTAAGAATAGCCACTTCAATATCAGATGACACCGTTGTTGCTGCTATAAGCAAGCTTACTCTACTTACCCTCTCTCTCTCTCATCATCATCATCATCATCATCATCATTACAACTGTTGATGAAGAACGGATAAAAGATAAGCGGTTGCAAAGAGACCATTCCATCCTATCCAGTGCTATTCATATAAAAGAAGAAAAAGCGTCAAATATAGTCCCTTGCGTGACCAAATGGGGCGGGGGCCTGGCCTTGCAATGATGATGATGATGATGATGATGATGAGAGAGTTATTATTGGCATGATTGCCTGATCCACGAGTTATACCATGCCATCTCCATACCATGCGATCAAAGAGAATAGGGGGATTGATGAGCAAGTAAAACTGCCTTGCCCTGCCTTCCCCCAGGCAGGGGAGATATGTTTTTGTGTTTGTTGGCAAAAGACACAACCCCTTGCAAGCCTTAGGTAGGGTAGGGTATGGGGAGAGACTACAGTAGAATGGTAATGAGGACTAAAATAAAGGAGATTATTGCGACAGGGCGAAAATTTGGGATGCGGGGAGATTTTTCTTTTTTCCTAGTGGGTTTGGTTGCTGGTTTGTTGTTCATCTTGAATTCTTTTATTAGTAGAGAGCTTCGGCTTTTGGGTTAATCATCAGGACAACTCCCTTTTTTTCTCTTTCTTATTTTTGGAACAGCGAGGAGACTTCTCAATCCTCGAGAGGTACTGTACCTCACATGTTAGTTGCACATGTATGTACAGTACCACACTCACTGGACGGACGTCGGAGTTATATAATCATTACCAGGTTCAAGTGTCAGCAAGCTAAAATAACATTGTCAGGTACATACAACAACAACAACATCTTTGGATCCGAATTGGGATGGAAAATCTCCTTATACTTTTCGGTACCTAGGTGTGTACCAGTGCCGAATGCTACGGGACGATTGCAGAAAGACCCTTATAATCCATCCATTCATTGATTCAATCCAGATGAAAGTAACATGTTGGAAGAAAACATAGTTTAATTTGTATCTCCAGACGCGTACATAGTAAGGTATGCATTAACCCCGTCGGAAGAAATATAAAATTTCCCCCCTAGGTTTAAAGCCTCCAGGTTTTGGCGAACCTTTTTTCTTCTTCCTAATACCTACAGTACTGTACTCATCAGTGTACCTGTACAGTATGTACAATTTGGGGGGGTGGGAAACCCCAAAAAAAAGTATCATCCTTGCAACAATGTTTATACCCTTGCGATGTTTAAAATTCCCGACAGAAATGTATGTTGTTGTTTGTATGGTTGTGTATACCAATCAATCGACTCATCACAGCCCAACAACTGACCAAAAAAAGCCGGGCGAGGGGGAAGGTCTTCTCCTGACAAGGTAGGGAGGTATGTACTATTGTACCTTTTTCACAGTCACAATATTTGTTGGTTGTCTTGCTAGCATTGGGGATTCTGATAAAATGATACATATACCCAAGGAGGTACATTTGTCCTTCTCATTGTCAATCGTCCCCAACGATCTCTACGGTCGATTTTTTTTTCGTCATTCATTTTTCTCTTGTGCAACATTACGGGTGAGAAAAAAATCACTGCAATAACCGCTCGTTCGCTCGCTCCGATTTTCATTAGCAAAGAGTTCCTAAACGAACAGACAAACAATTAAAAATGCAGTTGCCACTGCTACTCTTGGCGGCCATGGCCAGGTAAGTGGATAATTCATCCTATGAGTTCTCGTTGACAAAACATCCGTCGTGATCGCTACTACACCATTGTACGCGAGAAGATGCCGGTCAAACGAAGAAGAAAAAAGAGGCACACAACCAAGACTAATACTGAACAACAACGCAATAGCCTCGCCACCGCCGCTGGACCGCCTACCGCTGACAGCGCCACCACCGACCTGACCACTGCCGACACTGAAACTTCCGGCGATGATACCGGCACCAATGTTGATAACGGTGTTCCGGATGACGCGGTAATTCTCCAGGGCCCCGACAACGACGCATTCTGTTTCTGTGCAAGCTTCGAAGACATCACCGATGATAACGCAACCTACTATGTCGATAACGTGGACACCGCAGCCATATGCCTGGCCTCCGATTCGATCGTTGCGTACTACGATGTGGGTGATGGCAAGATTGTCGCACACGTAAGTTCCTACATGTACACACATACATACGTACCTTCGATTCTCTTGACTGACCTTTTTCTTTTGCCCCAGTGTCAAGATAAGACAATCTTCCAGGACGCTCAAAGCTTTGCAGATGCCTGCGCCGAGGCCGATCCATTGGGACTTAATAACGGAGCGGGATGTTGCGGAGCATCCCCTGATCCATGCAACAACTTTGCGGCGGACCCTGAATACATAGGGGCCGGCGTAGGCGGTGATGGTGGCACTGAGGGTGGAGACCCTTCAGGGGGTATGCAGGCTGGAGACGTCCAAGGGGGCGCCGATACTGCAATGGGTACAGATGATCAAGGGACCGATGCGTCTGGACAGATGAGTGCAGACGGTGCAGAGGAAGGGAACGAGGAGGGTAAGAAGGAAAAGAAGGGTAAGAAGTCGAAAAAGCCTCCGAAATCGTTCAGATTGTGAACAATCCATTGCATGCCGCTCGCTCTTATGTTTGGTTGGGAGACCTTCCATGTTCACATCGGTCGTTCATGGATAGGGAGGAAATTCAATCATCGAAGAAGGCTCCGGTTGTCGAAATTGAAGAGGGATTGCTTTGTTTTCTTTTCTTTTCTCTCTTTCTCTCGATGTAGACTTGTACCCATATCTCAGGGGATTCAGGTAAATTTGCTGGATATGCACACTTGAATTGCTTTCCAGTATTCGAGAACCTATTTCCTTTTATCGTCAGTCAGATCCTCCCAGAAGTATATGTGTACTTATCCGATGGAACCATTCGTGCAAACATATGCGGGAGGGTAGATTGGCTGGGCGATTGGTCTTTTTTCCCCTACACCAGTTCAGCCACAATCTTTTGACTTAGTCATCAATCATACCTAGGTACATACATATATTGTTGTTTGTACACAGCAACAACAATAACTGGAACATTTATATTTTGAACCAAAGTTTTCAGTGAGCTTTCTCAGCTTGTTTTCTTGTTCACTTCTTCTCTTTCCTTTTTAATCCTTCTTTTTCCATTTTTTTTCCTCTCAAATCACTCTCACAAGGTTGGTTTTTCCTTCTCTTCAATTCTGCCCGATCTACTACTCCTTTCGGTTGTGCTCCTCGAAAAGTCTCGTGCATGGACAGATTGGCGATATTTTTCCATGTTGTGCAGATTGTAGGACTCGTAGTCTGCAGGTGTGCGGACGAGATATGGGATGTCTTTGGTCCAGGAGGCAGGTCTCGTGCTATCATCAACAACTGGTTCGATGGAGGAGATGTCATCATAAGTAAAAGATGATGTTGTTGTGGTTACGGATGATTTCGGCGTGTGCTTTGGGGTATCATGCACCCGGTGGCATTGTTCCAGGTCTGGTATTGCGCCTGTATGTGCAATAATCATCTCTTCGGCGTCCGACAGACGGTGGCTTCGGCTCGTCGTGTTGACAGAGCGCTTCAGCTTCGAAAGCGGCTCGCTGAGATACTCTCGGAACACCACCCGGAGTGAGGGGAGTGCTGTACACATCATGCCCAGACTCAACTCAAGTTGCGCCCAGACAAAGACATAGAAAATACACGTCGAGACGTCGCTCGAGTGTCCCACTTGGTACAACCAGTAGGTCCTGACACTGCTTGCAGCCACAGCGAGCAGACCGAGCGAAAAGATAATGTACAGTGCGAGTCGTTGTGTTGGCGGTAGTAGTAGGTGCCTCGTCATCATGCAAGGTAGGATAATCGAGTACAAGTCGCTGATAATAGACAAGATCCCAGCCAGCAAATTGATGGCTGTAGTGTTTACGCAAGTGTAGTCGGTCGTATACGTCAGGCTGAAAGACTTCCAATAGGCTTCCGTTGGCGAGCAGTTGAAGATGAGGGTCAATACGAACGCCAGAGAATATGCTACGGTGAAGGCAATGGCGAATTGCACTCCCCATATCCAGAGAGGCGAGACGGCGTTCCGAGCCAGTCTTCGGTAGAAGAGGAGGACGCTGCATTTGAGGAAGCAGCCGCAGATCAAGAAATCCAGTTCTGCAATCCAAGTGATCAGAGCAGTATTCTCGTACATCCTAGAGCGGTGGGTCAGTTTGATGCCTGGCATGGAAAACCAATGGAGTGTTTCCATCGCTTGCTTCTGCGACTTTCTACATACGTTAGTGGTATATCCCACATATGTCTCGAAGTATCAAATCTCTCCGAGCCAGCAATGCTCAAGGCTGTAAAACAGGATAGCGTAAGCCAGGCGCAGATGAGGAGAATCTGGGCTTTCTTGTCAGTATTCTGCCCTCTTGAGTCTTGCTGCTCTCTCCATCAGTACTCACATCGTCAATGCCGAGTCCACCACCTCGTTGTTTCGCTCGCAACCACAGCCTTGTGGCCCCCATGACCGTAGCAACGCCATACAGGACACCGGCGTACGCGGGCATCCAACGCCGTCGATGAGGATCGGTGTAATTGGGGGTCGGCCACTTGGCGACATCTTCTGGCGTGAGATTGATGATGTTCCCCGGCATGATGGCCGTATTGCTCCATCAGATGAACTGCATGTGTTCTCAATGGCAGTTGCAAGAGTCTAGAGGTTCCAACCTCAGCGGAGGTGGAACGACAAGGTAGGTGTAGACTAGTTTGCAGCAGATTAGTAGGAGGTACAGTACTGTACTGCACCTACTCTTCTTTCCCACTGGGGCCTTCCAGGTGACACCCCCCGGGGACGTTCTGGTTCATGTAGAACTACTACTATATGTCGATCACCGATGTGCGCAAGTGGGAGGGAGGGTTGGACAGGGTACTGTAGTCTTGACTCGGCGACTGCATATCAACGACTTTTGTTACACGTCGCAGCTGCAATGATATATCGAGACGACCTGACCGAGTCCACCTACCTCCTAGCTATATGTACTCGTGTAACAGCAACTTCCAACCAGAACCTTACTGTCGCGCGAGGAGAAATTGTCTGTATGCGGACTGGATCGATGTTCATCTGGCGAAGAAGTACATGTCCATGTGGCCTCCATAGTATCGTCCACTGATGAAATAGGTACCTGACATGGAAGACGTTTCCTTTTCTGCCCTGTTTGATCGCCGTGGGTGCCACGAGTCACAGGCGCGCGGAGTAGCGCCATCCGACGTCCGTCGTCCAGTTGTAGAGCAGAGTTGGCATGAATCACACACTGCAGCAGGGCATGGCGCCATACCCGCTGCGAGTCGATACGGCCTCTTTCACATGGCTGTGCTGTCCGCGCGTAAAAATAAGACGCAAGCTCGGAGAGCAGCTACATTGAATGTGATACGCGCAGGTCGCACAAAACTTGGCTACGAGCGATATCTCAAACGTCTGTACAACCGTTCGACCCCGATGGAGATAGCGCCATGCGGTCAGGGTGGGAGTGAAGTTTCCGTGGTTTGAGATGGACATAGGAACCATGTACAACGCTGTCGGTTTTTGTTGTTGTTTTTGTTGTCGTTGTTGTCGTTGTGTACAGACGAAACCTCCCGTCCTAGGAGATAGATAGGGGGAGAGAGAGAGAGAGAGAGAGAGAGAGAGAGAGAGAGAGAGAGAGAGAGAGAGAG